ATTGGAATGTTTTGATGGCGGGATACGCATGTAAGCCTTGGCGTTCTTTGTATAGAGCTTTTTAACAGAGAGAACCATCACCACCTTTCTTAGCTTTTGCACGGGAGTACAAAAGCTGACGTCGCGCCACGGTACTGCATTTTTGGGGGGTCACGCATGTTAACAGCCAAAAGGGGCTTATGGCGGCGGCCAGGGGGCCGTCGTTGACAAGGTGCATTAGAGTTCCTAGAGAGTTTTAGTGCCGGGGACCCCCAGACGCTCGCTTACGCATGCTCCTGCTTTCCTTTGTATTCTCCGTGGTTGCAGCTGCTGGGGGTTCGTGGCGGCTGGAGGTACAAACGAACGCAAGAGCGTGCGTGCGTAAGCTGTTTGGGGTCCCCGATACTAAAATTATCTACAGTTTGTAGCTTTTTGGAATTTTTGCCTAGTCGAGAGCAATGTAGCCCAAAAATAGCCACATAGCCAAACAGAAAAATTCGACGCCAACTCGAACAAAAAGTAGCCCAATTTGGCTATTAATAGCCCAATCTGGTAACCCTGGCCAAAGCGCTCCCTCGGCGCGCGCAGTGGCGCGCGCCGTGCCCGCGCGTGGCGCCATCTATCGCCACGTGGTGTTAACAGAGCAGGAAAGCAAAAGGGTGTGGCCGTGTGGCGGAATGCCCGCGAAATGGTCGCGGGCGCGCCTCAGATCCCCACACAGTTAAATACAGCACTTTAAGCTATACAGCAACGGTGAGTGGAGGTGAAGTTAAACAAATGCTGAGCCTCAATGCGCTTGCATTAGCATTTGATTGTTTATCCAGAATCACATATTTACTTGAAATATACCAGAGCCCATTTATGGATTCAACTTCGAAATTACGCTCCCTGAATCGGCACCTAACCTCATGCTCGCTTCGTTTATTTGATTTAAAGGCGTCACTTTAGTTTTGCATAATTAAGAATAAATCATTAATTTATACAACCATAACTGCCACCATGACAAGATGTGAGTACCCCTAAGGTTTTTCTGGACTTACGCCCCTGATTAATTTATTAAAGCGATGTTCTCTCTTTTTCTTCTGATAGGGCCTTGCCTGTAACTTCAAGTACAAGCCCGAGGTCAACGCAAACTGCCCTTCCGTCAAGCGGTACATGCGGAACCTCGAAGCACTGTGCAAAATGAAAGAGTACTTCAACTCGCCAAGCTGCATCGAGTGGCCCATAATGGGACCCAACTTCCAGTGGGGCTTCAAGAAGTTGATTCCTTTATTCAAGCGATGTTCTCTCTTTTTCTTCTGATAGGGCCTTGCCTGTAACTTGTACAAGCCCGAGGTCAACGCAAACTGCCCTTCCGTCAAGTGGTACATGCGGAACCTCGAAGCACTGTGCAAAATGAAAGAGTACTTCAACTCGCCAAGCGGCATCGAGTGGCCCATAATGGGACCCAACTTCCAGTGGGGCTTCAAGAAGTTGATTCCTTTATTCAAGCGATGTTCTCTCTTTTTCTTCTGATAGGGCCTTGCCTGTAACTTGTACAAGCCCGAGGTCAACGCAAACTGCCCTTCCGTCAAGTGGTACATGCGGAACCTCGAAGCACTGTGCAAAATGAAAGAGTACTTCAACTCGCCAAGCTGCATCGAGTGGCCCATAATGGGACCCAACTTCCAGTGGGGCTTCAAGAAGTTGATTCCTTTATTCAAGCGATGTTCTCTCTTTTTCTTCTGATAGGGCCTTGCCTGTAACTTCAAGTACAAGCCCGAGGTCAACGCAAACTGCCCTTCCGTCAAGCGGTACATGCGGAACCTCGAAGCACTGTGCAAAATGAAAGAGTACTTCGACTCGCCAAGCTGCATCGAGTGGCCCATAATGGGACCCAACTTCCAGTGGGGCTTCAAGAAGTTGATTCCTTTATTCAAGCGATGTTCTCTCTTTTTCTTCTGATAGGGCCTTGCCTGTAACTTGTACAAGCCCGAGGTCAACGCAAACTGCCCTTCCGTCAAGTGGTACATGCGGAACCTCGAAGCACTGTGCAAAATGAAAGAGTACTTCAACTCGCCAAGCTGCATCGAGTGGCCCATAATGGGACCCAACTTCCAGTGGGGCTTCAAGAAGTTGATTCCACGCGAATTTTGGAAAGCTGTCTTGGCAGCGTGTGCTGCTACATTCCTGCAACAGCATAATAAAGTAAAAATGTGGTGTGTCTATTTTGTGTTGATTAAGCGACGAAGCAAAACGCACCTTAAGTCCCGACGCGAAACGTTTGGTTAATGCGAAATCACAGGCAGGTAACTATACACTCTGCCTTGCCATTCACTACTAACCAGTAGCGTAGCCGCAGGGTGGCACTACGGGCTCCTACACCTTCCCACCGAGGAGTAGAAGGTGGAGGAAGAAACTCTATTTTGAGAATCTGGCGTACCGGTGGTGTGGATGCCACGCCTAGGTGTCAGCCAGGAGCCCCTGGGCCCTGGCGACGTCCTCGGCCCGTCAGATTGCCCAGAGCCGTTCCTCTGGGCCTGAGCTGAGCAGCGCGGTCTTTCACTGCTCATCAGTATCAATCGTGCAACCTTGTAGGACTGCCTTTGGACAGGCCCACAGGATGGGACGTGGGTCCGCCCTTCCCTTGCAAAATTTGCTGCTGTCGGTGTACTGACCTGGGTAATTGTGGTTATAAAACACCGAGCTCGGCTACGTGTTTGTTTGAAGGAGGCGTTCGGCCACCGCTTGCTGCTTGCTTCGTGAGTGGTAGCAGGAGGATGCCGGGCCCTTTCCAATCGATAATGTATTCTAAGAGAACTTGTTGTTGGGCTAGTTGGTAGATCATTTCAAAAAGTTAATTATAGCGCGAAAACTTGACACGATCACTCACACACGTGTGTTTGATGCATGGGTGTGTGCGTGTGTGAGTGATCGTGTCAATTTTTCGCGCTATAATTAACTTTTTGCAATCGATAATGGTTGGCGACTTCCTTTTAGGGAACCATGCGACCTCCTATCCAGCCTAGTGGGGACGTCTAAGTGGCTCGGCTTGTAAGTCCTCGAGCCGCGGTGTGCGCCGCCTCGTTGCCAGGAAGAGAGGAGTGTGCGGGCGCCTAAACAATTTGGACTTTTCTGTGGTCTCGAAAGTTCATCAATATTCTTTGCGCTTCCGGCCAGATACACCCTCTGGGAAAATTTCTGACTTCTCGAACTCAACAGACGCTGTCCACGTGGACGCAGCGGAGTACGCACATTTGTGTGGCATGGTCATTGCAGTCGTAGCCAACGACGGTGCCCTAAAGGCTAGCGGCCCGATTCGAACTGGAAGCGTGGAAGCTGCGGAAGAATGGGCTATCGCATTGGTAATAGCTTCCACCCAGGCTAAATGCTTAATCAGTGAATCCCCCACCCTCCTGAAGTTTCTCTCCGCCATGCACATAGTGCGGCCTGCCCGGCCCCAGTTGAGAAGGAGGTGCTCTCCGCCCCGGCGAAAATTTCTGCAATGTAATCATGCTACTACAGAGGTACAGTGAGTTTATAAGCGTGGATAAATCGACGTAAATATAAAATATAGGTCATTGGGTGTTTGGGTCAATGCATTCTGCAAGGGCAAAGAAAATTCAGCGTTAGTTATGTCTTTCGTTCACAACCAAGAAAGGCTCGTCAATCCCCAGAGGCCACAGCCGCGCCGCTGGATAAGAAAGCCTTTTTTTTTTTATACAGCAAAGGTGTCACAGCACAGTTTTCGAGAATTTCTCTTTTTTTTTATTTTCACGGGCTTCTTTTTTGTATGTTTTTAAGAAACGGGGTGTGAAGCTTCAGTTCCTGCCGATTTGTTGTGAGCTATAGGACTAACCTGCTATAACGCCGCTGCTATAACGAAGACAAGAACGGAGCCCGGCAGACGCACGCTTTTTGAATGTCGTTTCTTCCTTTACCATGGACGCCACAGCCCAGTATTGCCGTCATTTTTGCAAGGGATGTGTCTAACAACAACAACAAAAAAAAAAAAGAAACAGCCCTTTCTTTCTTCCTTTCTTTCTTTCTTTCTTTCTTTCTTTCTTTCTTTCTTTCTTTCTTTCTTTCTTTCTTATACGCAATGCTCGCTTCGTTACAGTGACTGTGAAAAAAACTTACTGAGAGTTTCTAAGCGCGTCGCTGCGAGACATGCTGCCACGGTTTCGGAATCAAAGCTTTTCGTACAATGCCAGCGCCGGTGATGTACCGAAACGCTACGTGCACGTGCAGCAAGCGCATGTTTCTTGGGCGCCAACATCAAAACGTCTGTGTCACGTTGCAAAGCATGAACACGGACGTGAATTTCCACCGGTAAGGCGACATACGAAAATCAAAAGAAATAAGAACCACGTGGTTATCATTGTACAATCAAACGGGCCGCCGGCTTTTAATCAGAAGTCGCTGCAACGACCTGGCCAATCCCCTTCTTTGGGTACGAGCCATTTGCACAGGGAAACAACAACAACGACCTGATGCTCGACAACGGGAGGGATGACAACCGTCACGACAATGACGACTAGATCGATTACATCTTGGCTCTTGCTCTTGTTATAACTAAATCCTTCCAGATTCTCAAATGCGGCATTTTGCGCCAAGCGCATGGCTCTAAACAGAGGAGGCAGAATGGCGAATTCGACAACAGCCATTTAGGTCGTGAGTAATGCCCCTAGTCAAATTCTGACAATAAAACATCAATGCCTTACCCCATGCAGACGCTGGCGAACTTTCAGCGAATTCCTCTTTGAAGAGAAGTATCATGTCGTGCACGAAAACTAAAGCAACAAACTAAACGGCGAGCAGGCAAACTCGGCCCTTGTAGCGCACTCTTGCTTTTTGCCTTCAGCTACTTTCGCTTTAGCAAAAAAAGTACTTGTCTTAGGGTTTTATTTTATTTAAAACAGCGTCAGAAAAACTTTGTTTTATGCACAAGTATTTTGCTACCATTGACAAATTTTGTAAATTGTTTACTAGCGCCCTCTTATGTTAACACACAAAATGCAATTTGTGATGGTTCTGTGAGTTTAGGTCTGTTTGTCTGTTTTTCATCCGGGCCGCCGTGGTTTCACGGACACATCCAAGGTGATCGACTGCGCGAGAAATACGCGAGTTTAGCTGAAAGCGGCTACGAAGCACGCACCTTTCCTCGGACGTTTGTGAAGTGCGCCGCAAACGTCCGTAACAGCCGCCATGGGCGATCTGAGCAAGCTGCCGCACTCGGACACGGGTGGTGTGAAGCCCATGAGCATCGAAGGACGGTTCGCCAGCGAGAGGAGCCGTCTGAGCGGCGAGTTCACCGATGCCGACCGCGCCTGGCGAAAGAAGTGGCTGGAAGACCAGCACCTGTCGCCCAACGAGCCCCGCAAAGTTCCCGAGCTTGAGAGGGCCCTCAAGAATCCATTCCGCCGCTTCTACCGGGCCCCGATGAACGCCTTATTCGCGCGATTGGAACCCACGTTGGGCCCGTTGATGACGCCCGCCTTCCGTTGGTTCGTGCCCAAGGTGTTCTTCGTTTACCTGGGCGGCCTGGTTCTGCTGTACAATATAAAGTACAACCCGCACACCTGGGAGCGTCATAGTGGCTTGCTGGTGAGGACGTCGCGGCCCACCGTGTATCCTGGCGACCCCGGCTGGCCCAAGGCGTCCGACAGGACCAAGCCGCAAGACTACGCGGACTACGGATTCAACGACAGGAAAGTCCTGCGCAACAATGTCTGAACTCGCCGATCGACTCGCATCTAGCGGCCTTAATGAGTATAATAAACAATAGCAAAGGTTTCAGGTCTGGCTTGCTCTGAACTGCCAAGTGTAGAAGCGCCCGCCCCTGAATGGTTTCTCGTCTTTTAGATCAGCTGGCACGATGACCACACCACGTTGCTGCGCTGTGCGATTTTCCCACATATCAAGTCAACTGTGAGATTCCGCATATTCGCGATCGCAGGCACCTTAGGAAAACCATTATTCTGTTTGTAGATGCCACGATTAGACTTCACATAAAGGACATTTCACTCGTCAAGTAGAGTGAACGTTCCGGTTTTACCTCGTACAAAACTAATGAGGTGTTCAGCTCAGATGTAATCGACACATTATTAGAAAAATCGGTACAGTGTGAGGCTGGTCGCCCGAATGTTGCACTGCAGACCAAATAATATATATATCGACCGCTAACGTTTGTCAACCCTTGCCTTAAGTGCAACTTGATGAACACACCGGAACAGATTAATCGGCATGCCTGCTCCATGCATTATCGTGGTAGTGCAATACGAACCCATTCCAAAAAAAAAAGGCATTGCCCCATCCTCGTGTAGTACTAGTACATTTCCAAGCCCCCATTGGCCTCTCGGAGGTGGAAGAACAAGCCAAACAGTGAGGCAACAACGCGGTCATTTCACTCGCTATTTTATTTGATAATGCCACTGGTGTGATACCAGAATTCTTTGCCCGACAGATTTTATTGTTGCCGGTTTATTGTAACCGGCTTATTGTTTGTTGTAGCCAAGCAGCAGCTGCAAGAGTAAGGCACCACTTTGCATTGTGCCATCCAAACTTGCCTAATGGCAGGGATGTGACATCACCATTGTTCTTCACCAGTACATTCACGAGCAAGCACTATCGAAACTTGCAAAAATTAATGATGCCCGTGTGGAAACTTCAGGCCGCTGTTGCCACCCACCTTTTCAATTGATTTAATTCGGCCATTCTAGATGGGCAAAAGTACACTTATCAGGTATTTGGCTAGCAAGTATAGGAGACCAATCGTGAAGGTGCTGTATACGAACGCTGTTGCAATGTGCAAGCTCTATGAATGAAAAACAATAAACAGGCATGCACCAGATGTAAGCAGATCTTGGTGCGAGAGTATCACGCATGCAGTGTTGACCTATAATGGCTAACAGCTATAGACCACAGTGCTTACAAACACATTCGAGTACACCATTATTCTGTGCTGTTAGTAGGATACCTCACTCATACTTGGAGATCTTCACCGCATGTCTTCACTATATGTTTACAGAGAGTATTAGATGTGTGCATTGGATGCAGAAATACTTCCATACATGAGAGCGGCCATATTGTCATTTCAGAACCACAGCTCAATGTTAGGGCTTATCTCAATTAGCAGTGGCCAGCAGGTTTTTCATCAAATTGAAGAAAGCAACACTACTGTCCTGCCCAGTACACCTTCACTGCATATTACACAGTGCACTGGACACCAATACTGTAATCTCAACGCTGATGCAGTCATGAGTCTAATGTCCCAATAAGTTGGATATAAACTGCCAGTCTTTAACATGCTTTCCAGCAAAAGCGAACGAAAGACACGCACATTTATATATATAGACAAAATTTCTTTATTGTAGAAGTGTAATGCTTACAGATGTAAACAAATTTATCTAGACAAAAAAAAAATTTGTTCTAAAAGTAAAGGTGGTAGGGCAAAAATGTGCTCTTCTAACTGAACAGGACAGGCTGCTTCATTTCTTTATCCGCATACAAGAAGTGTGTCAGATTAACAACTTCCACCTAACACATGTAAACAATGTCACAAAGGCTTTGTGCCATTTCAAATGTGCATTCACCTTCATAACAAACAAACAAAAAAAGACGAGCCTAACACATTCAATAAAAGCAACCGTAAAACAACGTATGGCAGTCATGCATAGTAATACACATGTCTAAGAGGAAACAAAAATAATACACTCAAGCCAAAGTAGACGCTGCCTTTGTGTTTGAACTGACTCGGGGAATCTTTGCAGCTGCAGGTGAGCTTGGCTTACACTACGCAACAAACACCACTGCACAGAGATGAAACAAAAAACGTTATAAAGCTGCCACGAGCTCGTCGAGAGTATACGAAGATTGTTTCCTGCTTCTTTTTCTCCACACTGTATACACGTGACTTGACATGCTCACGCACATGGACGCAATATATATATAGATTTATATATATAATATGTATATATTTATGTACAGAGGAGGCATTAAATTACAAGCAAACAAGTTTCTTTGTCTTTTCCGCTAAATTGCTTCGTTATATAAGTGGCGAAAAAGGAACACAAGATGTACATGTATGTTTAAAAGAAAACATAACTAAAGGGGAACGGGAAATGGCAGAGTTTAGTCTCGCAAGCGAAGGACAACTCACACGACCACCACGACAGTAGTAGAGAAGAAATTTTGGGAACTGAAGAATGGGAGGTTAGGGTGGACAAGTCGCTAGTGGCGTCAGTAGCGGCAACAGCCGTTTGTTTGGCTCTCACAAATACTGCACAAGGACGTTTACACATCGATATCAAAGACTAACCCCCGTACAAAATACTCGCGAGAGGCAGGAGACACCCCCAGCGCATTTGGCGGCCCTAACCTGTTCCTAGAGATTCCTTCTAACACTATGCTATCGCAGCACACACTCACCTCCCACGTGCACATTCTAAACTCAGGCTTTTTTCTTTTCTTTCTCCGTCGTAAGCCACATTCTTTGCTGGCCGTTTCTTACTAAGACAATCTACAAGGTTCCTAGTGGGGCAGTTGAACAGATGTTTACGTCTCTCTAATGTGTGAAACGACTCTTGAAGCTGGCTATTACTGAAAAGAAAGTTTTGCTATGCTTGCACTGGGATTTCAGTGCAGTCGCAGCACAAACACTCACGAAAAGCGTAAAAAATGACATGAAGAAAGCACTTTGCCTAATTGTCTTTACTGATAAAGCTATAATACTGGCTATCAGACAAAATGGGCACACCCAAGAAGAGTGTGTGTTTAGTTATAGCACTCTGTGCTATCTGTGCGCCGGGACAATGGCTGCAACACTTGCGCGAATGCCACGAAACTGTGAAGAAAGAAAATCGGAGGCACAAAGGCGCGTATGTGCCAACGAATGAAGCACTAGGTAACTGCACTTTGCAGTTTTCAGACCATCCTCAAACATAAAAGACTATTTCTACAAGCAACGGCCTTCATTATAACCGCAACTTTCCTAGAAAAAAAAAAACACACTGTAAAACTTCTAGGATACACATTCTTCCCTATCTTTTCTTTTCCACTATCTTAGTGAAAATGTGAGCACGTAGATTTAGCTAAAAAAAACCTGTTTTGCCGCCATGGAATGATGGCAAACACCACCTACCCTGCCAGCTCGCGTGCGTCGCAAAAAAGCCGGCTTGAGCACCGAGTCGTCATGGGGGAATGAAGGCTGGCAGTTCAAAAATGAGAGGCAACGTCCAAAGGGCGTTTGCAAGTTGCTCACGTAATAACCACCGGACGTATCTTTGAAATCGATGAGCTTTTTCAAAAGACCCACGTAGACAATGAAAACACTAAATGTGCGACATACTAATAGACTGTGCATCGAAAATATGTGCAAAAGCTTGTTGAAAGGACACGAGCACTGCACGATGCGAGCTAATGTGGCACTTCCTTAACTGTACAATGATACAGCGTGTCATGTTGCTTTCTTTGTAAAATGCTGAAGCTTTCTAAACAATGAAGCTGCTTTAGGAAGTGAGAGAGAAAATTAGTGTGAAATTAAAAGCAGAAATGACTAGCAAAAAGCAACTTGCTTCCTCTCGCATTGTTTCAGATGTTTGTTGTTGCAAAGCCTCAGTAACAATCTGACATAGCCTTTGAAAAAAAAAAAAAACTCAAAATGGCAGCACGAGCAAGTGCCAAGTGTTGGCATAATATGACATTTGCATTTCAGATGTCTCAATCATGTTAGGTGCTCTCCAAACCGATTCCTTTTACCACTGACTTCAAGTTACACCGCTTACGCCTCGTCAAGAGCAGTAACGGAACATGAAAAATGGAACATATTCAAATGAAAGAAATGTCGTTGTACAATCACAAACGATAGACCCGTGTTTTTGTGGTCTGTGGTACTTGGCAGTAAGCTTCCAAACGAATGTGCGAATGGTTCAGCGCATGCCTTTGAAATGTGGCTTGAAATGTGAAGAAACACGCACAATAAAGGTACACTGACACGTTTGCTGATGGCTACATGTAAAAGAAAAATTAAACTAAAACAGCCTTTGGTATTTAGGAACAAAAGCACAGCGATGCAAAGAGTAGTTTAGGAACATAGCGTACAGAAGTCGTGAGGAGTGGGTAGGAAGGACGGATGTGATGCAAAGAGTGAAATGTTACCCTGGAGAAAAACTAAATCATAGCATTTGTTTTTATAGCAAACCCGTTTTCATACCTTGTATATCATCTGTCCCGGTGGTCGTCAGGCTCACACTGTTTCATTGCTGTGGTGTGCAACCATAACCATCTCATGTTCAAAGTACACAGTCGTCATACTAATTCACAAGCCCACCAACAGTATTGACAAAGGCCAGAACAGTTTACAAAAAAAAAAAAAACCTTTGCGTGAAAATGTAAGAAAGCAGTTTATGTTGTTCATGTGCTGTTAGATACTTCAATATAAGATAACAAATAAAAAACAAGATGCAAGCTGTCTACAAGGAATGACAGTTGCCACAATGTGGTCTCAACTGACTCAGAAGTGAACAAGAAATAAATAAAACGTGTCAACTACACAACCATCTTCCAAGAGCAAGCTATACAAAACACGCGAAGATGTACAAAAAATGAACGAATGCCTGAGGAGATAGTACAATTAAAACAGAAGCCTCGAGGACAAAAATGATAAAAACCAGGAGACAATAAGAACTGAGAGGACAAAGGAAATTCCTGAGGCCCGTGCCTTACAGCCATGACACCTGCGAATGCGGTTGTTCAAATGTTCCGCACATGCAGCATAAACAAGCTGCTTTTGCTGGTAATGTTAACATACAAGAGCACAAGACAAGATGCCCAAGTCAGCTACGCAATAGTTACTATATACTTAGTCGTTGTGCCCCACCTCCCCAAGAGCTACCCACACTGCTTGTGCTAAAATATGAAAACTCATATGAAAATCAAAACATTGGTAAATATGGTGAGCGAAGCAGAGCAGAAAGTCTTTAACATACTCTGATCATAACAGAGAAAGAGGAAGTGAAAGAGTGAAAGAAAAGTGCCATTAAGCTCAGTGTATGGTTTGAATTTTACGACTGAGCAGGGGTATGCACATCAGTTTGTAATCTTGAGCACATATACCGGGAAGGCGTACATACCGGGAACGTACAAAAGAGGCTCTACTGTGACCAATGCCCCCATTTTGCAATGATATTGTGCACTCTAATAGATCACAAGATATTGCAAATGTACAACATCAGATAAAACAGCAGATATTTTGTGCGCACGAAAGTTCTTTAAAGGGATGAGCGGGAAAGTTCAACTTCTCCGAGGCGCTGTGGCACAGATGATCGTTCTGCAGATGCCGCAGCCATCTACTCCGGCCAAGTTGCAGGAACAGACTTAATCCAACCTTCTCCACATTTTTCCTATGTCAAGTAACATCAGGATGGCAGGAGTACCACTCGGTAACTGCTCTGCGCACCGTCATCCCAAACATCTGGCTTAGTGTGCTTAACACACTGAAATAAAAGGATCCTAAGTTTACACAGACAAATAACAATCACCCTTTTGTGGTTTCTGCTTTGAGGAATGTTCCGAATGTACGAGGGGGGTGAAATGTATCCTGCCAGATTGCCGTTGCGAAAACACATTGGAAGGGTCAGCGAATGGAAAACAAGAGCAGATTGTGCGACTACTGTAAATTACAAAAAATAGTTTTGCCAAAACGCGAATTTTTCAACTAAAGCGCTTCTTTGAGCATAAGTAAAACATTCAAACAATGAGCATTCTGTCGAAGTCGTTGCGTTAACTTTGCAAATGTCACTTTTCGATGTGAAAATGTAGTTTTTTTTTTTTTTGACAACTCCACTTATGACAGAAACGTACAGCGAACCTAGGTATCTGGACTCGATCAACGGTCATGTTTTCTTTTCTTTCCTGAATCCTTACTTCTTTACATTCCTCAATTCACATCACGGAAGTGTGTATGGCATCGCCCTGATATTCACTTCCTTTTTCGTCTAGCTCGATGCTGTGGAAGCTGTGAAGCAAAATTAAATCTCAAGAAAAATTGCACTACGTAAATGTACAAGTTAATAATTGGTTGCCACTCATACAGCAACCACAAATTAAAAACCCCCCGAAAGCACTTCTGAATACGCAACGTCTAAACTGAACAAACTATATACTGATTGAGACGTACAGCCAAACAAACATACATCAAACAAAAAAAAAAGAGGAAAAATAAAAGATTTGTCAGTGCAAGTTACTGGAGGTTGGTCAAGCGCGCATTCTTTGTTCGAAAACCAAGAAGTTGTAGCACTGAATACGCAAAACGCCAGCTAAAACAGTCATGACTGGTCCAGCGAAATGTAACCGGTGGAGAGGCAGTAATGGGACGTAAAATATGCAAGATCTCTATAACCGAGAAGTGCACTCACTGAAAAACGGGACGTCCAGCTCCACCGTGAAATGCCCCCTTCCTAACACTAACAAATGAAACACTCAAAATGAATGCAACAAAGGGAAGGAGGCAAAGGCGAAGCCCACCAGCTTCTTCTAATACCTATGTAAGCATTTAGAATGAGTCCCATAAATCAGTATGTTACGTAACAAGTGAACTTGAGCCGATGATGACGCAAATGCGCAAGAAAAATAACTGTGCCAATTGAAAGTTTGATCTAAATGAGGTATGTAAATTTTTTTACATCCAGTTTTTTTTGTCTAAACTGCCCGAGCTTTGCTGCAACGAGAAGGAAAACAGAAATGCAAACGAACACAGCCTTAAAGAGCATTGAGTCAAAGGCAACATGAAAATGTGCTAATGTCAAAAACAGCGTTCAGTGTTCTACGAGAAATGCAAGGTGCCTTCTGCCCCGTGGAATCAGTAAAACGTTAGATATCACACATTCCGTAGCTCTGAGTATTCCTGCCCATTACCTTCTATAAGACTAAATATGCTTATTTCTTGTTCTTAAGGGAAGTGAAGAGACTACTGCACACTTTGTTCGGCTGCAACACTTTTGTTTGCGACTACCGAAGACAACTTTTGGTGGCCAATAAAAGATCCAAAGTGCGATTTCAGTATTATGCTAACATCCGAGGCTCTGCCTCCAGCCGCCAACTACAAACGGCTGTAGGCAGAGCCTACAACCTACAGCCGTCCCTCACCGTACATTTCATCTCACATTTTCTTCGTTGCTCGCAAGCTGCTCAGTGTAAATTCCGAAGTTCGCAAGGTATAGAAAGGTAACTTTTTCTCATGACATTATTTTGTTGTCGCATGCACTAGTCCTGAACGTGACCTCCTTTCGCAAAACGAAATGGGACATGACAACTCATGAGCAAATGCCACCTGGCCCGACCCTAACAATTTTTTTTTGTTATTTTCTATCTAATAAAGGATGGCATTGTGCGACAAGCCAAGCGAAAATGAGCCCTAGCCAATCAGAAAGCATCTATTACTTGCGTCCACCCAGGGGCACCCCTGCCTTGTTAAACAAACAAACAAAAAAAAAAAAAAACCTTGACTGCTGCTCTGAGAAATGTGCCGGTAAGCAGTTCTCGACAGGATTAAACTCCTATACGTAAGGCTGCTGCTCAGCGCAACCAACATATACAAACAGTGCCGGAACAAATCCAATGTCGGTTTGTAGAAGCCTAGCCTAGTTTGTAGAAGCCTAGAAGTCTTAACATTAAACATGTTTCAAAAGATTTAAAGAAAATCGAGTTTTCTTTCGGTGCTGTGTGTATCTATCCTTGAGGGTCACAAACAGAAAAAGAATCATTGCTATTGGTACTATGTTTCCACGTAGCAAACCAAAAGCAAATACCACATAGCAAACCGGAACTCGCCCTCAACAAGTATTAAATGGCATCTGAAAGCAGTGCAGTGCACTAGGTTATCAAATGCTCTTCACAGCAACACCTTCAGTCTCCACAATTCCAAACCCAAACCCACTTCAATGAATGCACACAACCTACAAAGGCAAACAGCATCTACAGCCAACCATCAAGTGCAGTGCAAGAGGTACTAGTAGAAAGATAAAAGGCAATAGCTGCACTGCACAAAGGGAAAAAAAACCCTACGTATCCGTCTTCGCACGTGGTATCATACCAACTTCAAACATCCCACAAAGATACAAAAAAATATATATATAAAAACTGAGGAGTGGGGATTCGGCTTCAGACTTTCATCTCCCAGATGAGAACGAGGGCATCGCCACTAGGCGAGGAAGTCAGGTGGTCGCCAGCCATCCTTCGCCAGTTTACATAGCCACAACCTCCGGTCAAAGTGAGTAGCGTCTTGCTCTGTGGCCCGCTGTCTGCGGCGCCACCCGAACCCGAATGATGCGCTCCCCTCGGCACTGGCTGACCGGGTCGCCGCGGCTGACGCATGGTGCCGTATGCCGGCCCTTCGACCGACGACAGTGACGGGGATGGTGATGATGCGAATGAAGACTTGGGGCCCGCATCCGATGAGGAAGAAGAGGTGCCAGCTGCCTGAAGTGCAGCAGCACTGGGAACTGCCGCGGCTGCCTGGGCAGCCGCATTGGCGGCATTGTGTGCGTCGCAAGTGGCTGCGGATGAGTCCGAGTCTCCGGACACTTCCATGGTGGAGAGGTCCCAGGAACGCGGTCGACCGGGCCGGTGTGACCTGCATTGGACGGAGAACAGGCTCATCTGTAAGTTCCAACATATGCAGACTACTAATTTAGTAATTTCACATGTGCCTGCGAATATCTTAAAAACTATAAAAGCACAAAATGAATGCCATGTAAATTGCATTCAACTGCTTTCAAATTATAGTTGTGATGCTCCTCTCTCTTTACAACAGCTGAGTGAAATGTGCTTCACTTCAATAACTATCAGCGAAATCCTGACAACAAAATTTACGAAATATAGTGGCCGCACTTCCTACTAGATAAAAAGCTACTAGCTCTGATTTGATCTTTCTCTTCATCTACCCTGCATATGCCTTGCAGCAAGTCACATCACAAAAGGAAAAGACACTGACAAGAGGTGGCGTGAGCACTCCAGTGCAGGCAACACTTGGCAATGCAAATAGCTAAGGTGTGAGAGGAACAATTCCTGCTTCGGAATGGTCGCAAGAGTGGATCGGCGAGAGTGAATCCCATAAAAAGCTTGCCAGTGCATTTTACGGGAGTGCACTGGCACTTTAGAATAAAAAAAAAACAGTGCAGTGCTCACCTGCGCCCCAGTGTCGCAAAGTGAAAGTGCATGAGCTCGGGGTCGCTACGGTTGAGCTGCTCGTGGCTCTCGTAGTCCTGCACGTTCATGAGGTCGGCATACAAGCCGTACACCTCACTGCGGCTCGCCTCGGGGCTGCTGCCGCTGTCGTTGCCACTGTCGGTGCTCACGCCTCCGGCACTGCTCAGGGTCAGTCCGCTCGCAGCGCTGGCCCGGGCACACAGGGAGAGGCCGCGGGGGAGTGTCTTAGCACCCGACATGTGAATGTTCTCAGTGGCTGTCCGCCGCAGAGCTGCACAACGAGGCAAAAGAGGGAAAGGAGACATCGGCCACGTCACGAGTTAGGTTCCAAGCACCACAAAGGGAAGCAAGCAACCACTTGTTCGCTAAACATTGGAGGGACGTCGTGGTCATCATGTATGTGCATGTACAGTCGACTCTCATTAATTCAAACTCGAAGAGACCTCTGGATTTCGTTATCAGGCTGTATGAATTATCAGTTCTCACATATGCAACTCTGGGTAAGGTGACAACACAAATTATGATTAGACATCTATATTCACACTTTTAAGCATTTCTAAATCTTAACTACAAAGAAATGGAAGGTGGTGCATGTAGGGTAAACGAGTTTATTGACTACTGTTAAATCCCATTACAACGAAACTGATGGGCGTGGAACAAATTCCTTTAAAGAGAAAATTTACTTGTGGTGAAATTGAAAAAATAGAGTTGATAGAGCTAGCAAAACAAAAGAACGTTTATTCTTGAAATTCAAAAAATGTCCGCTGCTTCCTATCACTTCCCAGCAGCGTCATGACGTGATTTTCACCAATGCATAGTGAGGCCATGGTGAAAAGCACGCTGAAACAACGCCTAAAACCGCTTTCGTGAACGAACCAAACAGTTGCATTAACACGTTAACACGAGCAGCTGTCCGCCGTCATAAGTATCCGATAACACCGAGATGAAGGCAGGGTATCGTGGAGCGGCGACTTTTGCATTATTCTATGCCATTATTATTACTGAATATTTACCTATTGTTGAGAAGATGAAGAGGAAAAAGCCGCCGAAAAGAACGCGTGAACTCCCAAGAAAGTAGAGAAAGAAGAAAGTATCTGCCATGGACTGTTTCAACTGCTATGTGTAAATATGGTAAATATAGTCTTGTTTTTTCGTATGGCGTGACCAGTTATTTCACACTTATCATCCATCACTCATGGTTAGCTGATTTTGTTGATAATGCGGACGAACAGACGCTCTGATTAGTTACCACACTGGCCAAGCGCGAACATGATGATAAGCATCTAAATCCTAAAAGGCATCGTTCTTCGGTTGCACCCAGCAGCTGCGTGAAGGAAACCATGAACTGAACGACTGAGCTTCAGCTTCGGATCGCCTGCGGCTGAAACAAAAGCCAGTGGCAAAAGCAGGGCAGTCTCATTGCCATCGGTATCGAGCAATGGCAGCGCCCATGCTTGCTGAACAGCGGCGGTATACCGGCAGTTTCAGGTGGTGCCAACGCGTGTTTTAGACTTGGTTGATGCATTTTCAGGCTGTGAAAATGCATTGAAATGTTAAAGATTGGGTTTACTGCACAGAAATAAGTATCTGAGCCTGGAATTGCGACGTAAAATTTCATTGAAGCGAGACGACTGAAGAAAAAGGTGTTTGTCTGGGCGACAATATTTATTTGTGCATTGACTTCTACGGACTGCCGACGGGCAATCGTGAATTTTTCGTTGTAGGAAAAATTTCGTTGAAACGACGTTCGTTGTAGCGGAGTTTGACTGTATATCTTTTTTTTTTTTTCCAAGGCGGCGCAGTATGCGGAGAAACGATTGTGCGGCAAAACCTTTTCCCTGGAAGCTTTAAGGCGCTTATTTTTCCATTTTAGAATATTATGATAATCATAAGCACGCAAATATCCAAATATTGCCGGCGAATCGGCAGAAATTTTTCGGTATTGACAAGCAGAAAGTACGAATTAACCGAATGATGAAATTTGAATTAGGCGGCTTTTAAATACATTGAAAGCATAGCGGGCCAACCAAAATTTTGAATATACAGTCGAATCTCGATAATTTGAACTCGAAGGAACCCGAAAATTTGTTCAAATTAAATAAAGTTTGAATTAATGAAAGCTAAGTAAATGGAGGGTTCCCCATGCAGTAGCGCATGCGCATTGAGCTAACACACGAGGGGGAAGTTTCAGAAGGCTTACATTTATTCACAAATCACAAGACATCTGTCATTGATTGAAGTAATCGGTGATGCGCGTATGCGCATATTTGCCTTGCAGCTAGTCAATCCATTTCGCAAGGAGCTTGCAAAGCACATCAGCTTCGGCTTCAGCATTCTCCTGGCAAGAGAAATTGCATGCGGCTATGTCCAGCACCGACACTCTTTATATAAAGACCATGACAACAATGACTGCATCTCCGCTACTATCCTCTGCGCCAAAGCCCCAGCGTGGCCAATACGTGACGAGAAAAGAGGAGCGTCTCCACGCAGAGAAAAGCAAATCGGCTTTTTTTTTTTTTTTCCTCGGGTGGTGGATAGAATTCTATATGCGGAAAGGCAGCACCACGGGGATGACAAAATCGCCACGCGCTTAGCACGGAGGTATCTTCCTCTGGCGGGCGATGCTGGATCTCCGGGGCTGGCCTGGTCACGATATGAGGGCAAACCAGCCGTGCGCCTTGATAGGCCGTTCCAAGAGGCGGACGTTCGCGAAACACTACAAAAGCTCAATGGCCGGTCAGCCCCGGGACCCGATGGCATAACTAACAAACTGCTGCGCAATTTAGATGACAGGTCGATAAAGGTCATAACGGCAGAGATCAACCGTATATGGGAATCGGGTGTCTTTCCAGATGAGTGGATGGTTGCGTTCGTGATTCTTATTCCCAAGCCTGGGCGCAGCCCCGGGGCTGAAAACCTCTGGCCAATCTCTCTCACGTCTTGCTTGGGCAAGGTGGCGGAGCATGTGACAAATGATCGGTTCTCTAAGCACATTGAGCACGAGGACCTTTTTCCAAACAACATGATAAGCTTCAGGCCTCACCTCTCTGCGCAGGACGCTTTGCTACTCATCAAGCATGATATATTAGATAGAGACACCCGAGACACGAGGGCCATTCTAGGTCTCGATCTGGAAAAGGCCTTCGACAAAGTGTCACATAGGCATATTCTAGACTCGAGCTCCCGCCTTCACCTGCGAGAAAAGTTTTACAGATTGGTGCAGTCCTTTCTCGGAGGTAGGAAGGCCACCATCAAATTGGGTGACCTAACATCAAAGGCTTACTATCTCGGGCAACGGGGTACGCCACAAGGGTCGGTTATTTCGCCGCTCTTGTTTAACGTAGCGATGCAGGGCTTGGCAGTCGAGCTTGAGCAAACGGAGAGTATTGGCTCCGCAATCTATGCGGACGACATCGCTCTCTGGTGCTTGTGGGAATTGAGGCTGGCCCGCTGCCTTTGCGCGGGCTTTGCCGCTTTTTCTGCCGTTCTCATGTCCCGACATGTCTGCCCTCCTTTGCTGTCTGCCGTGGTGGGAGAGCGGAGTGACGTTTAACTCCCTCACCCGGAAGCGGATGTTGACTATGGCACCGCGCGCGGGGACTCCCCAGAGGTTTTCGCACGCTGCGTCAGGGGCAGACAGTGCTCTCCGGGACTTCAAACGGTGAGCCACGCATTCTTTTCCGTCCATCGAGTCCCGTCGCTCGGGGCTCGTCGGACTTCGCCGACGGCGCCTCGCGCCCGAGGCGAACGCTCACCTTTTGTTGCCCTGCTGCGTACTCACGGCCGAAGGGCAGTACGGCGTCCTAGTGCGTGGCCTAGCTACGCCAACCCGTCTCCCTCCGAGGCCAACGCGAGCGCCTTTGCCCTCGCTCGAGCAACCGAGCCCTTTGTCCCGGTGTCTCCGTGGATCACCTTTACCGCGGAGACGTGCTCGTGGCACCGTGTGTAGTACTTTGTGCCCGTGGGTGGATAAGCCTACTTGCTTTCCCGCCGCGCCTTTTTGCAACGGGCTGTACTGCGTTTTGTGTTGCCACAATAAAGTGTTGCGACTTTGAGCAGTATCGTGTTCTCGCCACGGCAACAGTTAACGCGTGCCCTGCGGCTCGCTAAGACCGGACCCACACTGGTGGCCGTACTCCTTCGGGATACGTGTACACCACACTGGCGCCCAACGCGGTATCAAAAGCTCTAGCTTTTGACTGCTCTTAGCGAGTCAGTTCGCCTGCGCGATTCGGGCTCGTCGCTTCGTGGCATGCCGCGTTGCACAAAGAGGCCACTGCCTCTATCGACGGGCACCCTTCGGCACTCGCCTGTGTCGCCACCCCTTTTTGTGGTGAATACACTCCTACGTGGTAGCTGACGCGCTATCTCGTGCCCCCTATTGTCTGCCAAGAACCTGGATTTCGGTGCGACGGCCGCTCGCGGTGCCTTAGCACATGCAAGCGTCGGGGGCGAAACAGCGGCGAAAAGAGGGAGTCCCCATGAGGACGACCTTGACTGCTATCCAGGTAAGCGGCGCACTGCGTAGCGGCCGAGCGCATGAACTTTCCGAAGGCCACCGTGCCGAGAGCGAACCCATGACGTCGTGCACGCGGCGGTTGCTGCGGTCCTGAGTGGGAGCGATACCAGACTCCCCCATTTGGGAGAATGGGAATCGCTTTCAGCAGCGAAGAGCTACTGAAGGCTCAGCCAAGTGACCCGTTTCGAATCTCGAAGGGACGGAGCGCCGTATACGCTGCTTGTTTTGCGACGGGCGCCGTTAAACCGTCTTGACGAGGTGTGGAGCGCGGTTACGCTGCTTGTTCTGCGGCGGGCGCGATTAGGGGGCTGAAACAGCGTGTGTCGCTGAGTCCCCGGCGGATTCATTTTGCTGTACCATGACGGGCTCCTGCTGAAGTATATAGCCAGTGACGACGAGTCCGTCGACCCGTTTAAGGTGGTTATGCCCAAAAGTCCGAGAGCCGCACTGTTGCGATCCTTTCACGACGAATCCATGGCCGGTCACCTGAGTGGCTCGAAAGTTTTTGCAAACTGAGCAATGTTGTGACCTGCCCGGCACGAAGCGTGGCTTTTATCGCTATTCCATGCCTGCCACGTCTGACAAACGGTTGAGCCAAGGGTTGGAAAGCCACCCGGTCTTATGAACCGATTGTCAGTGAGCGTCCGTGGCGCGTACTTGCTGAAAGATCCCCATACGGGAAAGCTCAGCCGTGCCCACATCGCAGACCTGAAGCCCTTTGTCACGCTCTGATGAGCTCGCGCCAGAGCCCT